ACAGCAGCGAAGGGCCGAAGCTGCAGCAATCGCGAAGGAAAAGGCGCAAGAGATCGAAAAGGCTGGTTTCGTCCACGCGGGTCTGACTTTCTTTCAACCGAACAAGAAGACGCTTCTGCAACCAAAGGGGAACAACCTAGGCAGTGGAGTATGGAGATCCAAGTTCAAGAGCTGGTGCCAGTCCTTCATCAGCCGAAACACCGAGCAGGAGCATCTGCTCACGCCCGACATTCTCGTCGCTGCTCTGCAGGACTACATTGCACATCGGGCAGTGTGGAACAAGAAGAGGCAATCTCCAGCCGCGGTCACTGAGTCACGTAAGCCCGAAACGAGGACTGACATGGCTTCCATCCTGGCGAATGTCGTGAAGAAGGATAAGCGCCAGCCAGGATCAGAAGAGTCGCCCCTGATCATCCACGATAACGACGATGAGTCCAACGACGACCTTCAAGAAGTATCACCTCCGTCTGGTTCCAGACGGGCTTCACAGACCGAAGACGGGCCTAGCGATCAGCAATCTGCAACACAATCCCAAAACGACGTCGTGGATTTGATGGACGACGAGGAGGGCGAGGAGATGGAGGAAGAGCATGGTGAACCAGGACCGGCGATCATGACCGAGGAGGAGGATTTGGACCAGCAGCGCAAGTACTTCCCTGGCCTGGCCGACGCTGTCCAGATCTGCGTCTACTGCGCGACTCTGGGACACACCTCGATGGCTTGCCTAAACACGCGGTGCAAGTTCTGCGAACATACCGACCACTTTTCTTGGAACTGTCCTACACGCGAAAGATGCACCAAGTGTCGCCAGCTTGGCCACGACAAGACCAAGTGCACGGAGAAGCTCATTCATCTGGACGAGGAGGGCATGGAATGTGCCATGTGTGGCTCTCAGGCTCATCAGGAGGACGAATGCGAAAAGGTCTGGCGATCATACAAGCCTCCAAGGTTCACCAAGAAGGTCAAGCCCTTCCCCGCCTTCTGCGCCTTTTGCGGCAACGAGAGCCACTACTCTTCCGATTGCCATCTGAATCGCGACAGACCGAAGAGCGAAACGTGGACGCTCAAGAACAGACACCTCTACATCGACAAGAACGCAACCGATGGCCCGATCAGCGACTTCGCTAGTCAGCCCCAGAACCCCAAGTTCGCCCCTCTCTCGATTAAGGGCTCTGCAGCCAAGCGAAACCACATCTTTTACCCCGATAGCGACGGGTCGGAGGAGGGCGAGTTCATCGGTCAGAAGGTGAAGCCGCGTGCTCCACTCGGCAACATCCAGATGTCGACCAACCTTCAGATCAACGCTCGCAACTTTGGACCACCACCGCAGACGCAGTCAAACGGGCGTGGCCAGCAGCAGCAGCAGCAGCGGAATGGGTGGTCAGCGCAGCCTCCCCTCCCTCCAGGTCCTCCACCTCCAGGCCCGCCACCACAGGGCTCGTACTCGCGAATGTCGAGAAGCTACAACAACCAGTCGCGCCAGCCCGTGAACGGTTTGCCTCCCAAGCCCCCCGCGCCGCAGTCGCAGCATCACGGTCACAATAGCGCGGGCCCACCGTCGAACGGGCGAGGAGGACCGAATCCGCCCAAGAAGCAGAGGACTAGGAACCAGTCTGGAAACTCACATGCGGGAGCCTCGCAGCAGCAGCAGCAGCAGAACGGTGGGGGCTCGGCGGCATCGCGCCGCAGGGGCAAGAACAAACGCGGTGGGAAGCAAGGATGAGCGTTTGGAATGATTGGCTAGCGCGCGACGCCGTTGAAAGAAGGGGCGTAAGCTACAATGGATGGGCGTGTGTCGCGCGACCGCGGGCAAAGACGGTGGTGGTGGTGGTGGTGGTGGTGGTGCGAAGTCACGGGAAGAGGCGAGGAACATCATGTACGACAAAGTATACGGAGTTGAGACAAAAAAAACTTCGAAGCGAGATCGGAAGAGGAGACAGCAGCGCGACGGAAATGCGCGACGACAGCCTTGCCTTTATGGTTGGGTGAACGACTATGGACGAACTGCGCGGCGAGGGGGAGGGAGGGGTTTAGCTTTTACATTTTTGGCAGCAGGAAGATGCGTTTGCGTCGGGCCAATCGTTGCGCATGCGCAAGTTGACGTGGACCGTCTGCACATAACGGAACTTCTCATCCTCGGGGGTGGTGGATCAGATCATTGAACCAGAGCCGGAGAGCGGGCGGGAAACAATTAGCTTCTTATGGAGAGGGAAGCACTCGGTACGGTAGTTTCTCTTAATACCCCCCTGGTTATTCGCACAGGAAAGGCCGATAGGGGTGGGAATACTACTATTTTGCGTTTTATAAACTTTTGTAATTGACCTTGTGTGTTTGTGCCTGGATTCTGAAAATTTCCTCTTCGCTTGGAGAACATGGATTTTGGTTTATACCATGGGACTTACAAGGGATATCTCAACATTTGACTCATTGCGAATGCCACGACATCAAAAAAAGACCCTGGCTGGCGCTTTCATGGCTGGGGGGGGGGGGGGGGGGGGGGAGCAAAATTGAATCATTGACGGTGAAGAGGCCCGGTCGTCTGGGAGATCCCAAAAAATGCTCTTTACCGCAAGTTTCTGAACATGGGAGAGGGGGAAAATCGTCAAGGGCTCGCGGCTAGGGGTGTAAGAAGAAGAAGAAGGCGAAGGAAAAATTCATCGTGGGCCTGTCACTGGGGGGTGTCTATTTCTTTTGATATTATAGACCATGAACGGCGCTTAGTTTAGGCTTGGGAGTGTGTGTTAGTCACGACGCTGAAGGGGTTTGTCGGCCACGTCGTGGATATTGCCTTGATTTTCACCCTTGAAAAATGCTTGGGCTTCAATATAAATAAAAAATTCAATGTGGTGGCTCTTTTGTGTGGACGGACGAGGTTTTTTGACGATTTGTCGGTGTGCGCGTGCGCGTGCGTGTGGTGTGTGTGTAAGTGCGCTGTTGCGAACTTGCGGTGCGGTCAGTCTGGGGGCTGGGTTAAAGTTGTGGATGCTATATTTTTCCTTTTCTTTTTTGAACATTTGGTTCGTGATGCATGGGTTTGATGCAATGGTTTGGTGGGTTTGCCAAGTGGATATTAGTGTAGACTGGGAGTCGGGAGACGGGGGGAAGTTGAGAATGAACCGGGGATGTTGGGACTTGGGTAAGGGGGGGTTTTTTTTTTTCCCATCCTTGGGAAGAGAAACGTGGGTTGTGGGTTTTGATGACGATGGCCTTGTCTTTTTAGGTATTTGGGCTCTTGGAGTCTTGGGTCTTGGGATTCCGAGACCGGGGTGTATTGATGATGGACACCGTGGACCATGGGCCCTCTTGTTCATGGGTTGTGGTAAGAAAGTGTCTCTGTCGCAAAGTTGTGGGATATGTGTTTGGTTCACCGGCGACGATGGACTCGTTTGCGATGCCCGGGACGGCGGGAACGACCAGGGGGTGGTGCACGACGTGGCTCCAAGGGTCTCTTCTGTCCCTGTCTCTTTTACCGCTGGCTTGGCCGTGCCCTTGGTCTGATGATGTATGTAGTACGGGTAGACAGGGGGGGAGGGTCTGAAAGTTTTCGAGTCGAAACAGAGGAAGTCGTTTGCTAGGCTGGCAGGGTAAATCGTATTGGTTCTGGGTGTGTGGTTGGATGGTGATGGAGAGGGTGGAAAGAGAAGGGTGTGGCATTTTTTTTTGTTTTGATAATGGGGACGATGCAGTCGTGATGTGGACACCAGGTGACGATCAACCAGGGTGGTCTTTTTTTTTATGGGTTGTGGTTGTCGGTGTAAGTACGGAAAGATGAGGGTTGCGCTTAGCTGTGGGTGATGAGCGATGAGAGTGTCCAAGGGTTTGTCTGCGGCGGGACGGTGTGATGCAAAGTGCTGCGATGCAAGAGAGTTGCAAAGGGGAAAGAACAAACGATGCGTTTAGAAGAGTCGAAGCTTGCCAGGGCGGGTTGTTTTGCTGTGTTGTCTGTTTCGGGGACTACGGTGACGAAAGGACTAAGTTGATGTACGAAGTATGCATAGACTTGGACTCAAAGTTGACAAGAGAGATCATGGGATGGACTAGATGCAGGTCAGTTGACTTTTTGGGGCGGGAGTCTGAGAGAGATGCAGGAAAAAAAGGACCCTTGCGATTGCTGCTCAGACCGTTGACGCGGGCTTGGGATAATGAGGGAGTTGGTTCCGAACGACTCTACGTAATTACTAAGGTACCTGAGTTCTGAGAGTTGAGTTGTGGTCTGCATCTCAGTCTGTGGTCTAAAGGTTCGTTGTGGGTGGTGGTGTTTCGACCTGTAGTCATGTCAGCCCCATTTTGTTAATGGTGAAGTGGTAGATTTCAAGCATGTGGTTGTGTGTGTGCGGGTGCTTCATTCTCGAGAGAGCCGAGCCATTCAAGACTGCCTTGCCTGCTTGTGGGTAGAAGTGCTGTGGAGTCTTAGGATGCTGCATGAGTTGAACAGGCCGGCCGGCTGGCCGGGCTACGTCAACTTTCCAACCTAGAATTGGAGTTTCGTGGGAAAGCATTTTGAGGGGGATGAAGGATGGGATGCGCCGGTTGATGTCCGAACCCGCAAATGCGCAAACAAATTGTGGGGTTTATCGCATGGGTCGTCGAGTGGAACAAACGACTTTTTCCAACGACGTCTCTCACCGCGTGGGATTCGTTCGATTCCTTTTTTCTGTATTCCCAGAAAGAGGTGCTTGCTCACCTCTACCGGGAAGCGGATTGGTTGGATATCAAAGAGCTGGCGACGGTTTCCCGTCTGATCCGCGGTTGATTCGCGGATTCCGCAAAGACACCCCCAGCATTTGCGCGACGGACCTCACTGGTCAATGGACGAACGTCTCCGTAACGGTATGCAGAATGCAAGGTAGTGGATCGCCGAGAGAAGAGTCATAACTCATCCATCGTCCGTGTGTCCCACAACGGCATGCATGGGGGTGGTGGTCGAGGGGAAGGGACGACGACGCTACTGTACTGCAGCAGCAGAAGTGGACTATGCGCGGCAAGTCAACACCCTTGAACCTGCCTATGCCTCTGCCTTTGCCTATGCTTCTGGCTTCCTGGCTTCTCTTGGTTGACCTCGCGTCCACGTCCGGAAAGCCGTACATTTGCCGAGGGGAGAGTACACATGGTAGACGAGGGGTTTCTGGCCACAGCCCTAGCCTCGTAGCCCTGTGTTTCGCGAAAATGGAGGTATGGCTGGCACGCTGGCTGTTGGATGGATGGTGTGGCGTGGTGCAAGGTAGGCTGTTGTTCGAATGGTGGGTGTATTGTCTTTGGCAGGCAAAAGGTGGTGACAGCATCGAGTCTTCCCGTTTGAAACAGCACACCGGGCTTTCTCGTGCCACGCCGCTGATCAGATCACCAGAGGCTGTCGAGTCTCTGTTTGATATCCCGGAGGCGAAAGTGAGAAGCGGACAGACTTCAACAAACGTCAAGATCGAGACCGTGGACGAACCACGGCAAGAGGAAGGGGTTCATTCGTTCCCCCCGAAGTTGATGCATCTTCCATACTAGCGGGCTCCCTCCTCAGACTACCTTCCATGCTACAACCTAGTACCAGGCTATATCGCCACGCGGAGGGGAAGCCAAAAACAATGAGTAAGAAAGGAAACGCCGGACTCTCGAACATCCTCCACCAAGCCCATGATCGTCAAAAGATCCACCCGGCAGAACAAGACACACACCTTGAAAAGCGAACCCAGGGAACCGAACGGCAGTGCAGTCAGTCAGTCGAGGTAGAAAACATCAGACGAGCCGGGGGGGCCACCCTCTGTCAAGACTCAAGAATGCCACAGACAAGTTGAGATAGCGTTGTGGTCAGCGCTTAGGCTTATACGCACAAAGCACGAAACGACTGGTCGTCGACGATAGACGCGCTCCCGTAGCTCCCGTCCACCTCCCGGGGCACAGACGCGTACCTTTCGTGTCTCTGGCGAATCACGGCAAGGCATGTCGTCGGGTGCATGACCAGCCTCCCGGGTTTACGGCCAATGAGGCGCCGTGTTGACGGACATTTGACGTGCCGGTGGAGTCAATCGCCGGTCTTTTTATGGAGACTGGACCCGGATGGAGTGATTAGACTTAAGTTTTGGCGTAAGGATAGAGTTCTTATCGATAGCGCTTCTCCCACAACAAGCCAGAAACGAAAGAAAAGCCAAAAGCCAAAAGCCACCACCACCCATGACATTGACATGCAAGCTGCTGCGCCCGGGGCTGGCTCGGACGATGGGGCCGGCGACTGGGAGCCGGGAATAGGAAAAATGCCCATGGGTATTCCGTACCAGACCGTAGGATATGACAGGTCCAGAAAAGCCACACAAGGTCAAAGGACCACGACAAGAACCGGCAGGTATCCTGCCATCATCTGCAAAGTCCCGCACCAGATAGACACAAGCAGTCTCATCCTCGGGACGCCCTCAACCACTGGTACGACTTGAAACAAAGTTCTTGGCGGCCGGGGAAGGAGGCATACCCTCAGGAGAGAGAAAGAGGGCTGCTTCAGTGCTTCTTCTCTACTTGCGGTTTCTGCATTTTGCTGCAAAGCTAATGCGACTCCATGGTCTTTTGGACCTTTTCCTTACTATCCTTTTCGTCTCGTCTCCATCCTTTTCGTCCTGCTAGACTAACGTGGTCGTCCCGCGCGAGAAAGGGTGAAAAGGCGTGGAACCAATCACACGGCCGCAACACGTCGCCAACTCGCCATTTCTGGACACTCTTCCTACAAACCTTGAACCGCATCGGGTGTGGTCACTCTGGGGTGTGGTGGTGGTGTGGCACGAGCTTTACACGCCTACACGTCCACCCACGCCCATTCCCTCGATTCTCCATCTTAGGGACGTGTCTCCCCATCCCGCGCGCCCGGGGTCCATGTCTCTTTCTCTCGTGGATGCGAAAGAAAAAGTGGATGGACAGAAAATGGTACACAACAACCGCGTGGAACTTGGGAAAAAGAGAGGCTACACTAGTCTTGCATATGCAGGTCTCGACAGAGGTGACTCACCCGCCAGTCGTTCCCACCGAGGAGCTACGGGACGATGCGGCCAAGGGTTGAGCAAGGAGGCTGGCTCCGGTTTACAACCTGGAGCCTTCTTTTTTTTCGCATGTGTAGGTGTAGGTGTAGCTGTATGGAGCATCCGTACATTCAAACCTTGCCAGATGGAATATCCTGCGAAAAGAATTCGTGTGGTGCTACGGATACTCACTTGGATCCAAATCATCCCCCCCCCCCCCCCCCCCCCATGTAAGGGAGAAGAGTGTGCGAGAGAGAGAAAGAGAGAGAGTATATTTGCCTCACCCTCCCACCACCCAATTCCGTTTGGCCTGATTTTCGAGACCTGCTTCTTCTCTCTACTTTTACTTGTTTCCAAATTTCGATACCCCCCGTCTTGCTCGTTTCATAAGACGACCGACGACAGCTTATACATATACCTTGGCTTATATACCGAGGCATTATCCTAACTTGGCATTCCTATGAGAAAAGAGGTTGTGAATAACCTCATTCGCCCATTTTGAAGAAAGAGATCTGTTTCAGAAAAAAGAGAAGAAAAGAAAAGAAAAATCCGAGCCGAGTCTTGATATACTCTCCATCGTCCATCCTACTGAAAGAATTGTCCTCGACCTACGTTACCTACCTACCTCACCTTACCTGATACCCGCCAATACAAAACACTTTCGGTGTTGAACCAAAGTCAGAACACGTCTGCTTTGGTATATCCCACAAACCACATCTTGCCCTACAAACACCATTTACTCTCGACGACCAACAATAACAACCTCAAGCCTAGAGTTCCACAACGACATGAGAAAACAATGGCCGCCCACCAAACCCCGTTCTACTGCCTCTGGCAGAAGGAACACGCCCACCTAGGCTCAGCAGTCCTCGATCTCCTCCCCAAACGCGACCTCGCCGCCCTCCGCCTCGCAAGCCCAGCCTGCTGCAACATCGCCACAAAACCCCTCTTCAAGCGCGTCCGCGTCACCTTCTCCGCAAACACCTTTACCAAACAATCCCGCATCCAGGCCCTCGCCCGCGTAGGCCACCACATCGAACACCTCCACTTCCACTTCGCCCACACGGAGGCAACCTTCCTCCCGCCGCTTGTCCACCCGACCACCGGCCGCGAGATCTCGTTCCTCTACACCCCGCACACGAGCATGGCCTCCGTCCTCGCGCGGCCCAAATACGCCAACACAGAACTCGGCGAGATCTTGACGCAGCAGTACCCGCCCCTTTTTCACGCCGCCACAAACGTCCCCAGCTTCATCAACGCCCTACGCTACCTCACCAACATCCGCCACCTCACCATCCGCTGCCCGGGCCAGGACCCGCAGGAGCGCTACCGCCGCGACATTGTCGACTACGCCATCATGTCCCTCCGCATCGCCGTCGAGCGCGCGCCCCTCGAAGCGCTCGAGAAGCTCTCCCTGTCGGGAATGCACCCGTCCTCCTTCAACTACCTCCGCCACGTCCCCGGCTTCGGCGCCGTCCCCTCCGCAGGCCGCCGCTGGAAACAGATCCGCAAGCTCAACATCTCCGTCGAGGCCTGGGACTTTTACGGCCCCTCGCCCGGGTTGGACCACCTCAAGATCATGGACGACTACATCCGTCAGTTCTCCGGCACTCTCGAGAAGCTTCACTTCACCTGGCTCGGCCCCAAGGGGCCCTGCCCCATCGCTTTATCCGCGGACCCTCTCTTCGCGCCGCCGAAACACAGCAAGAAGCTCTTTGCAGAGGTGACGTCGCCCATGTCCCCGCTCCCGCCGGCGCCGGCCCGCAAGCCGATGCACTTCCCCCGCCTGCGGTATATGCAGGTCCGCAACGCCACCATGACGGCCGCCCAGCTTTCGGACCTGGTCGACGCGCACCAGAAGACGGTAAAGGAGTTCGATTTCGACAACGTCGTGCTCATCAACGGCGGCGACTGGGAGGAGGCCCTGGCGCCGCTCATGGAGAAGAGCGGCTCATCATCCAGCCACGGTAACGGCAGCGGCAGCGGCAGCGACATCTGGTCGCAGCACTCGCGGAGCAACTCCGAGGCCGGCAGCCTGCACTCAGACCCGGAACCCTACCACGATGACGATCTGCCATCGCCGTCCGCCGCGGCGGCCGCTGCCACTCGAGAACTATTCGACTTTGACCTCGGCAGCGAATTATACGTTGACGAAGAACTATTCGATCCATATGACGGCCTCGACGAGGATCTGGCTTCAGACCTCGCGGCCGCGAAGGAGGCCAGTACCTCCTTCAGCACAGTACTAAAGAAGAAGCGTGTCCACCGGCGCAGAAAGCACCGCAAGGACGACGGCGACAAAAACAGCAAGGAGAGCAGCAGCAGCAGCAGCAGCGGCTCAAAGGAGAGCTCATCACGGCACCACAGAAGCCGCAAGCACAGACACCACAGGGAGCAACCGCCCGTACCAGAAGAAGACGACGTCTTCCGCCCGTCGACACCGGTGCCCATCATCACGGCACCGATCCAGGACACGTCCCCGCACCCGGTCCTGCTCCAGCCGGCCGTGTATGACCCGAACGCCAGCCGGCTTTCGGACCCCAATGACGGCATCTCTTCGGTGCAGCGTAATATTGAACAGGAGGAGGCGCACCGCATGCTGGCCGAGGATGCGGCGATGCGGGTCAGCGCGCTCCGTAAGGCCAAGGCGGCGGTACTGATGAAGCTCTCGAGGGAGTTCAACCACCGCAAGGGCTCGCCGGCACCCGTGGCGAATAAGGACAGCTGCGGGCTGCAGATGCGGTTGAGGGAAGGGCTCTTTGGGAGGAGCTTTGTGAGCGTGCTACCAGACGACCGGTCCATGTCGAGCCAGTCGGCGCTGGTGCCGCTAATGTTTACGAGATCATGATCATGTATGCCCCAGACACACGATTCTGTATATCTGTTATGTAAGTCGGGAACACAAACTACACTGTGTATCCTCTTGTACGGACGGGACTTGGCAGGTCAGAAGGATATGGCGGGAAAAAACAAGCCGGGAATTGGCCTGGATAGGCCGGCGGCGACGACAGGAGGCATTATGACTTTTGTAATGACTTGACGATACACTACTTTTCTTTCACTGTCAATTTTTTTCAGAATAACAACATTCCAAACAAACCTTGACTGCGTGTGATTCGTTTCGTAAACGTGCTGCTTGTCGTTGTCTCCATCGGAAAATGTTTCGACACTGTGAATCGCGCGGATGGGGCGGATGGATAAACAAAGCCGAGGAACGGGACCGCCGAGGTGCGGAGACGGCGAATCAAGAGAGCTCCGTGGCTCGGCGAGACTGGTTGAACGCGTTCGGTGAGGGAGTAGTGGCCAGCGGGCAGACCGGGAACAACCCAGCTATGCTTTCGTGCTGGCTGGGCTCAGAGGTGGAGTACACAACGGGACAGCGCGTGGTGGGTGGTAGGTGGCGAGCTGGGATTGAGATGTGAGATCTCGCTGTTCTGGTGCTGCTTTCAGACCATGTCCTTGCAGCGAAGCATAACACTGGTGCGGCGTGGTAAGGTCAGCCGACGGGTAAGGCAGTCTGGACTCGGCGGGTGGATAATATGGTTGTGAGAGCCTGCTACTCGTCCACAAGTTGCCAGACAGTGTCGCGGTGGCGGTTATGGCGATGGCGATGTTGACGCATCTTCACGATGGCCGCGATTTCCACGATGGGCGGGACTGCGGCAGCTACCAGCAGCAGACAGCCAGCGGCCCGGGCTTTATTGTACAGTAGCCCAGAGGTGGCAGCGCAGATGAGCTGACGCAGGCCTCAAAGAAGAGAAGAAGCAAGCTGGCGGACGGGTGTGATGATTTAGGGTTAGAGGGGTTTCCGTCAGCTCA